ACCTTTTTGAGGCATTTGAAGCAGAATATAAAGAGTGGTCTCATCTCCTTCCTTAATCTTCATAGTGATTGGGATGTTCCACTTGTATCATAGATTTTTTTATTACTGATGTGCTCCGCTGTTTTTAAATGTGAACTTGTGCGCAAATGTGCAGATTCAATGTTCTTGTTACAGACTGAATAAATTTTTATTTTGAAGATGAAATGCGTGTACTTAATCAAGCACAACAAATAGGGTGGGTGGAAGAAGGCATAGGGATTGGAAGAGAACACTGATGATAAACATGAAGCAATGCTCATTGATTGATCTCCATCAAGCACACCCTTAAGCTGACCTCTGGGAAAAAATATAACTTTCTACCTCCCACAGAATAAAGAGTGCATGGGAAATAGGATCACTAAAGATCATTTCAGATACTGTGGCTCCAATCAAGTGACGAAGCTGGGAACTTGCCTGGTCAAAGAGGCTTTTGCCAAAGCCACCACCTGAATGTTAGGAGAATGAATAAGCAAAGGGACCGAAATTCCTTGGCCATCTGCGTTGCAGAGTGACTGCTCGGGGACTGCTGCCCTGACCGGCCCCAGCAGGGACTGGAACTCTTGGATGGGTGACCTCTCTGGACACCCACCCAAGCCTTCAGCACAATACCTCTGCTTACTCAAAGGTCTCTACAAATGGGGCATGACTTTCCAAAGTAAAAACTAACCCTCTCCCACCATTAGAAGAGAAGCATTTGATGTCGATGGTAGAGGGCGAAAGGGCTGGGGTGGAGGGACAGGTTCCCGCTCCTCCCAGCCCTCCACAGACATCAGGACTGCTCACCGCATACAAGGCAGCACTACTCTGTGGGGAAAGCTCCGATTCCAAATTGCTAACAACATTTAGTGAAATTTCCAGCAAAAGCACTGCCTTGAACTAACATTGTCAGCTTGCTTCATTCTGGTTTGTCCATATCAAGTGAGAGGAGCATGCCACTGGTGCCCAGAGCCCCAACCAGTCCAGATAAGCTCAGTGTGGGCTTTCTAGCCCAGGGAGATGGACCAAATCATGTCTCAAGTTACCAGGACACCTCTCCCAGAAAACGGCTTTCTGAAAGATGAAATCCATGCTTGTTTTCCACACAGAGAGTTCAGAGCCCAGCTGACAGTTTGAATAACAAGAAGGGAAAGCACCAGCCCCAGTGGCTTCTTCACCTGCTTGGCACTTTGTGCCGTGGCTCCGCCCACCCACAACTGCGCCAGGGCTTGGCAGCCAAAAGAAGGCTAGAGGGCAGGTCTGAGTCATGCCAGGTCCAAGCAATACCTGTGAATCCTGGCTCCTGTAACTGGCGAACACCTCGCGCCCCCCCCCCGCCCCCCCCCCTCTTTCCCAGATGGTGGAACTGAAGGCAGGTTGAATTGAAGGATTCCTGCTTCCTAGTCCCAGACCTTCCCTCTAGAATGGAGCGCCCGGCTCTTTAAAGAGGAGGAAAGGCCAGGGGGACAAAAGATGCCCTTTTAGAGTAGGAGGCAACATGTCAAACTCCTTCTCTGCCAACAGGTGGTGCAGAGTTAGAAAGGACCTGACCTAGCCCTCGTCATTTGACAGCCCAGAAAGCTGCAAAAATAGGGTGACAGCCAGGGCTGGAACTCCAGTTTTCTAATTAGTCCTGATGTCCTTTCCTCTCTGCCCATGAAGCAGTAACTGTCAGCATCAGCATGTGTGAGGGAAAGTGGCACTGGCCTTCACGGAGAGGCAGGAACGCGTGGTCTGAGAAACATGCACCTAGACACCAGGCCACTTGGGTAAGGGTCTCGGCATCAGCAACTACCAGTTGAGTGATGGGTAAGCCACTTCTGTGCCTCAGTTTTCCCATCTGTAAAGTAGGGATATTAATAGCACCCATCTCAGAAGACCGTTAGGATAGAAGTAATATGTGTAAAACCCTTAGGACAGTGTCTAGCACGTGTGAGCTAGGGAGCGTTACTAGGGAGCAACTGAGTCATTAAGGTCTTTTCTTCCTAATTCTGTGCCTGGAATCTTTAGGTAAACGGGAGACTCCTCATCTCCCCTTATGGTCCCCCGTAACATGAATTCTTTCTGGAGCACTTGGAACAGTTTGATTCTGTTTCCCTCCAAGTCATGAGGACTTGAACTCGCCTGAGAAAGGAGCCTGTGAGGGCCCCCCAGGTCCCCACCATCTTCTCTCCCCTCTGCCCTCTGGAAAACTTACATTGATTCCCAGCTGTGCCCGGAGAGCCGGAATAACTGGCCCCATGCCGCTGCCCCCCGGGGCTTTATGATCCAAAGAAACAGATCCAGCCCTCGCTGGTTGGCTCAGTGGACAGAGCATCAGCCTGCAGACTGAAGGGTTCCAGGTTCGATTCCCATCAAGGGCACATGCCTGGGTTGCAGGCTCGATCCCCCGTGTGGGGCATGCAGGAGGCAGCCAATCAATGATTCTCTCTCATCATTGATATTTCTATCTCTCCCTCTCTCTCTGAAATCAATAAAAATATATTATTTTTTTAAAAAAAGAAAGAAACAGTTCTAGGCAGGGGGCGGGCGCTATGTAGACTGCAGCTACAGGGACCAATTGTTATTCACTGACTGTATTTTGACCAGATTTCTTTTTATCTCCTTTTAAACTTTGGTCCATACCCAGATCTCTGGGTCCTGAGAGGGTTGGGAAGAGGCGGGGTCTTCCCTGGAACAGAGGCGGGCACCAATTCAAACACGGCCCAGATGACTTTAGGAGTCAGGCTGGGCATCTGAAAATTGGCCACAGTGGATAGAGCGGACTGCCGGTCAAGGGCACGGGCCTCGGTTGCAGGCTCCATCCCCTGCCTGGTCGACTGGTCAATGTGTCTCTCTCACGTGGATGTTTCTTCTCTCTGTGTGTCTCTCCCCCTCCCTTCTATTCGCTCTAAAAAATCAATGGAAAAAGTATCCTCAGGTGAGGATTAAAAATAAATCCATACATAAGTAACTTAAAAAAATAACTTGGCTCAAGACCTGTTACAGCCGCTTCCCTTTGAACTGGCGTTCCAGGGTGTCAGGGTGCATTCACTTTTCTCCCCCAGAGCATCTTCCGGGACCCCTCCAAAAGAGGGTCTGGAGGTGCAGCCCCCCCGACAAGAATGAGGCCCGAAGGCACCTGATCTTGCCAGGCCGCTGGCTCTGAGAGGAGTGCGCCCCCTCCTCGTCCATTGCCCCTCTCAGCGCCCATCACAGCCGGTAGGAGCCAAGGGCGGGTAAGGAGTGCGCACACCCCACACCCCGCACACACCCCTATGATTACTTTTTAAAAAAATATTTTTATTGATTTTAGAGAGGAAAGGAGAAGGATAGAGAATCATTGATTGGCTGCCTCTTGCACGCCCCCCACTGGGGGGGATCGAGCCTGCAACCCCGGCTTGTGCCCTTGTCTGGAATTGAACCTGGGACCCTTTAGTCCACAGGCCGACGCTCTATCCACTGAGCCAAAACGATTACTTTGACGCTTTTCTGAGGCCACAGAGTTCAACTTTCCCGCCGCGGGATGGGGCGGGGCACCTCTGGTCCCGCCCTCCGGCCGGGCTCCGCCTTCGCAG